AAGAGGCACACCAGCTTACTAGACCTATCACACTACTTGAGATGAGTCAAGTTACTGGAAGAGTGCGAAATAGAGCCCCTGGTGGCCCGGTGGCCTGGTGGCTAAAAACTCCCCCTTCACACACGGAGGGCCCGGGTTCGATTCCCGGCGGGTGGAAATTCCGACACGTTTCCTTACACCTATTGTCCTGTTCACCTAGCAGCAAATAGGTACCTGGGTGTTAGTCGACTGGTGTGGGTCGCATCCTGGGGGACAAGATTAAGGACCCCAATGGAAATAAGTTAGACAGTCCTCGATGACGCACTGCTTTCTTGGTATACTCTGGTGGCTAACCCTCGGGGTAAGAGTCGACGAATCTATTTATCTTATGTCTCTCTGGAATAACAATGAAACAAATAAAGTTCCTACCCAGAAATTGTAAACAGTCTTTGGTTAATATCTTTAATGCCATCTTGGCCTCCGGACATTTTCCAATTGTCTTTAAGACTGCTAGGATGATCTTTCTTGCTAAACCCAATAAAGACATCCATCAACCAGTGAACTATAGACCTATATCCTTACTTGAAGTCACTGGGAAAGTTCTTGAGAAGATCATTTCCAACAGACTGAACTACTATATGCAGTTTAACCACCTTTTTACTGAAAAAACAGTTTGGCTTTAGGACACATAGAGGTACCCATCATGCAATAAATATTATTTTTGATACTGTAGCGAGTTTGAAACATCAGGGCAATCTTGCCCTAATTGCCACCAGAGATGTTCATAAAGCTTTTGATAGCTTATGGCATGATGGTCTAATATACAAACTTATTGACCTACCAGACCATAACTGGACCTTTCTCAGATTTATATATAACTTCTTAACTCAAAGAAAAATCATTCCAACCTTTCACGGCAGGCCAACAGAGCCTTTTATACCGACAGCTGGTGTCCCACAAGGTTCTTGTCTTAGTCCAATTCTATTCATTATTTATGTGAATGATATTCCTCAACCAGAGTTTAATGATACAATTATAAAGCAATCTGCAGATGATGTTATCCATGTCGTCTCGTCAACCCCTGTAACAGGAAAATACAAATACGAGAGTCATAGAAAAAATGAATATTGAACTTCGTCGAACATCTAATTGGGAAAGAATGGAGAATTACGACTAACCCTGACAAAGTCCTGATTAGCACGATAGGATGTTTTGCATCAACCATCGAAGACAACGGGGGTATCTCCATCAGAGGTACACCTGTAGCCATTAGAAATCCTAACAAGATCTTGGGATATGAAATAGACAGGCTGTTCCACTCAACATCTCACGTCAATAAAAAGATCAACATAGCTAAAGCCGGTCTTAGCAGTCTCTATAGATTTAACAAGCCCCTTCACATGTCAAAAAACATCTGTATAAAATGATGATAAGACCTATACTCGAATACCCATGTGTCTCCGCTTTATTACGGGTACCAGGAGGAGAGACAGAGTAAAAATGGCAGATTAACACATAGCAGGATATTACTGCCTTAAATGTACGCATTGATACGCTTTAGAAGAGACAACTCTATGCAATGCAAGAACTCTACATATCAGATAGAGAACATCCTCCCCAAGTTGAAAATACCACTGACTATATCATTAATACTCCTCCTCACAGGACCCAAAGAATGACTCTCCCACAGAGGCTGCGTCGCTTCATCCATAAAGACGATTACCATCGACCAATGATCTTGAGCAACCTCCTGCAGATGAAGATGATTGGGTAACACCAGAACCCTTCTATGTCTGCTAAGAAAATTATCGCCCCTGATTCACGAAATCGTAATGACACGATTGCAAACAAACCATACCACGGGCGGGATTTGAACCCGCGGTCAGAGTCTCAAAACTCCAGACCGTCGCGTTAGCCACTGGACCAGCTAGCCACAATAAGATTTGTCCAACTAGGTATATTTATCGCCCCTGATTATGGAGATATCTTGTATAACATTTCTACTTTTACATCTACTGTTATAAATACGCTACATTTACTATGGCGGGTCACCACCTTGAAAGAAGCTAACGTGTCAAGTAATTCTTCATGAATTGCTTAGACAATTATCGCCTTGTCTTGAAGTTTAAGTATTCGTTATGCAATCGAAAAAAAGGCCATTTCAACTTGTATATCTACTACCAATTCAGTCATGTACCTATATATCTGTTATATCTGTGTGACTCTGATGGGTTAGTATTATACCTCTTCAAGAATTTTCTATTATTCCACATACGCTTTTTAAATTGCACCAAAGTGGTTGGGCCACTTCCCTTTTATATCCTACCTCACTTCCCCCTCCCACCCTTTTCCAATATTTCTATCCTTACCCATCCTTCTTCCTTACCCACCTTACCAAAGACTCTGGTCATAAGAAGTGAAGGGATGAGGCAGTAAGGTCACAGATCGTGCCACTCCTATGCACGTGTAATTCGTAGAACAAAAGACTTTACTTTCAGACATTTAATTCAGGCCAGAGTTGTTGGGTTTTAAGACAAAGCAAAGAGTGCTATCCACACCAAGCCAGACCACACATACCTGGTGCCACCGTCTCTACAGCAAACGCCTAGTTTCTGCCAGTCAGTTATGTAGGTTTGAGCCTCCTTTCTAAAATTTTCTCTTATACGTTTAAAAATATATTTTTTCACTTATATTACTGTAAAAATTAATAATTTTGTATCAAAAAAAATTAGAAAACTTAACTAACAAACCGCAATTAAATTTAGCCTAATCCAACAAAAAAAAATTAAGATAAGGTTACAATAATTTAATAATAAACAAACACAATGAAATATATTTTTTCTTTAGGTTCAGAATGAGTTTTGCGAAATTATTGCATACACAAATTTTCGCTTGCCTTATTCAGCAAGAAGAGTATTCCTATTGAAACCACAATCGCAAGTTTTACCTATTCGGCATGACACACACACATACACACACATTTTTATATATATATATATATATATATATATATATATATATATATATATATATTATATAATATATATATATATATATATATATATATATATATAAAGAAGAAATGTATATAAATCATAAGTGTTGGGCCATGGTAAGTGGGGAAAAGAAATCTATTTAGCAGTTTAATAATTATAATAATAATAGTTTATTTGGACATGATACATAGTTGTACAAGGAATTATAGTAGTTGGGTGTACATGCCAAAAGCCCCTTGTATGCAAAGCACTATGGGCAAGCTTAAAATTAACTTAAGATTAACTTAGCAAGTTTAGCTCAGCTAATTTACATTATCAATTACTTTAGGCTGGAAAAGCGGATTCCGTTTTATTATATTAAATTTTTGGTGCACCGTATAGAACTGATTAATATAACCAATATTTGCATTGATAATAAAATACAATTTATTCAGTAATTGTACACACAGGTATTGATAAGTTATGCGGTGTATGACCCTCTTGGGGTTTAACGTTCCCACCAGGCATCAACTATCTTACTCCTGAAGAGTAAGACAGAACACATTTCAACACTGATTGAGCTTTATTTTAATTATAGTAAACAGTTTGCAATGAATATGTAGACACTGATTTGAATGCAATTTTGAGAAAGATAGATATAAACTTATTGTTTATGAAGGTTTTTACGTCTACTTGCAAATATTTATGGGTAGAACCACGTAATTGTATTTCCAAAGTATATTTGATTTATCTTTATATCCAGATAGAGCACCCCAATTTATAAATGTCAATTACTTTCATATATTTTAACCAGAGAATTTCTTTTCAGTTTAATCACTGCTGTGCCAACAACAACCACCACCAGCTTGGAGTGTGAGGTAATAGTGTGGCGACACACAAATGTCTTCACACACACCTCGTCAAGAACTCCATCAACGCTACTTTGACTGCAATCGTTGTTGTTAGTTTACTACTCAAGAAATATTACGAGACAAGATACTCATGGCTTCTTACGTTTCATAAGGATTTCATTGCGACACTGTTTGGGTAACTGAGTCGCAATATCACTCTTGGCAAAGTTACTGAATGTGGCAGAGCCCATAGCTCACTGGGCTATGAGATATCTGGGGGAACAGAAATGATATCAAAACAGGCGTATGACATTCTGCTACCAACACGTCACTCTACAGTTAACTGGATCCATGCCTTCAAAAGCTTTTGTAGCAAAGTATCGTTAAACACTATGCCTACACAATTACTTTAATTTCAGAATTACATGTTTGTTTACTTGTTTTTAATAACTAAGACTGTAAACAGAGTACAACTATACATTGTGCAGTATCTGTAAGATTTCTACTATTTTTAAAAAGTACTGAAAATCTTGGTGGTAATCAAGAAAATCTGGGCCCTTGTAACACTTACGTTTAACCTATTATTTATTCTAATAATTTTTGCCAAGAATAAGGTAGAATCGCGCCCAGAGAACTCTTATTAGGCTTCTGGTTAATGAACTTCATGAACAAACTTTTGGTACTTTCTCACATATATTTACTCAATATAGCGAGTTTGATCAACATTTCCGTGGAATAGTATCTGAATAAATATTTTGAGTGATTAAAGGATACAAAACACTAAAATGGATGATTACCGAAACATCCCCACTCCTGAAGAGTAGGGCTGCAGAAACTCCGAAGAGCTACAGATCAAAACTTGCTGAAACACTAGGTGAAGTAACAGTAGAGCCTGCTATTTTACTACACTCCATTGCTTACGCCGCAGACCAGGTGTATCTAACAAATATTAAAATTGACAAAATATGTTTGAATCAATTTAATTATAGTGCAGAAATCTGCGAGTCCCTCGACACGGGGAATTACACGCTACAACAAGACCAAGTGCAACGTGTAGCTGCTGACTACAATGTATACTGCCATTGGGCTGAATACCTGCCCGCCATCATCAGTATGGTCATCCTTGGTGCCTGGGGAGACACTAGAGGTCGTCGTCTTCCTGTAGTGCTGCCTTTTATTGGTAGCTTATTCTCTTCCCTCTGTGTTTTTGCCAATGTTTATTGGTGGACCTTACCGACGCCATTTATTATCTTGGCCTTAATCCCTCTTGGAGTCGCAGGAGGAAATTTGGGCTTAAGCATGAATACATGTGCCTATTTGAGTACCATGTCCAAAAAACGATCAAGAACTTTCAGATTATCATCCACTGAGTGGATTAAAATGGGTTGCTATCCATTAGGCATATACGTTTCGATGCTTCTTTTTGGCTATGGTGGATACTTGGCAGTTTTCAGCTTCGAAATATTACTGTATTTTATAGCTGGAGTGTATCTAATAGTGCGCCTGAAGGAGCCCCCATCCACGAGAGAACAAGGTAGTCAAGCCAAGATAACCAACATTGGCCAGGTACTCTCACCCTCAAGATTAAAGAGGACCTTCACAGTCATCTGCAGACCCCGCGAATCCGGAGGCCGAACAACATTAATTTTTCAATCAGTCATCCTTCTCTTCCTAGTATTTATGCTTGGTAAGTGGCAAATGATTTTATAATTACTGCAGGAAAATACATATATTCTCTGAAATGATGGGTAATATCATATTGAACTGTATATTTTAATTCGCTTTTCTGTACAACTGATAAAAAAGATTTTCCAACATTGCATTTGATAATATGCAAGATTTTTCCATGCTAGCAGATCCCCAACTGATATGTAAATATCTTTACAAGTCTGAAACACTACATTGGCTACAGTGAGAGAGTATATGAATAAGCATAAATAACACTTGGAAAGGTGAAATAGCACCAGCTATCTCACCTGATGACAAATTTGTTTAAAAAGACACGTGAAGAGTCAAGGTCCCAGGACCAAAACGTTGTATTAGTGTTTGCTCATTTTTTTTAAACTGGCATGATTGGTGCTCACACTAAACATATCTGAGGTCATAATGAGGATCTTATTTTGATAATGGCTTGTGCGAAAAAAATAAATTCCTATATCAATTTTTATAGATCTTTCAACATTAGCAGTCTTATACCAGTTAGTTGAGAAAACATGCTGCTATGCCTGAATATTTATGTTGCTTATGTTGGGTCAATACAAAATGCATTACAACTTTTGCGATCTCTTGCTTGAATTATGGCTTTAGAATTTTGGGGGATATCCCTACTGTTATAAAAAGTAAATTTTCTTTTCCGTCTCGCAGGTGCCAAGAACTATTTTTACCTCTACACCAGAAAGAAATTTGACTGGAATTACCAAGATTATTCAGACTGGACTGTTGTCGATTATTTGGTGAAAGCCATCGGTTAGTAATTTGCACTTGATTGTACCGTAAACACTTAATCACCAAAGATCAGTGATGAAATACTGACATTCAGATATATGAAGTTATTATTAATAAAGTGTAATATGTAGCTAGAAAAGTTGACGACGGTGTTTAAACAAGCAGACAGTATGTTGACAGTCTCACTCTGGCGAGTACATGTTACACATGTCTGGACGATAGGCTAGTATTTAAGTTTATAATCAGTTAGTATAGGAAGTTGAAATTACTATTTGTAATGGGTAAGTACTGAACCAACTTACGAATCAGAGGACGAACTGTAATTTTTGTTATAACTGTACAAAATAAATGAGAACATTACTAATACACTTCATTGAGGTTAAATAATAATACTTAAGTTAGGTAGGATTAAGATATTTGATACTGCATAAATTCTAATGTTAAGTTAGGTTACTATATTAGTTCTGGTGTAAAATTAAACATTTCTCATGAATTTTCATTGTGGAAAATACTTAGACATAACTTAATGTCTTACCAAAGTACTTGTGCTGACGGGAGGTCCGTTTCCCAGCTACACTCAGACACGTCTGTAAATTTCGCACACCAGCATTAATACATAGGACATGAGAGGGCTAACTGACGATTTCAGTTAAAGGATATTAGATGTACTGCTTGTAACAGGGCATACGTGCAACACTTTGGTATTGCAAAAAGGTGTTGCCAACCAATGGCTTTATCAATCTATTACAGAGAATAAACGGTGCTAAACGAGAGGAGGTAATTTAACTGTTTTACATAATGGTAGGATTGCTGGTGTCTCTTTCTGTCTCATAAACACGTTATATAACAGGGATATCTTGCTACTCCTACTTACACTTTCGTCACATTTCACAGACACGCACATGCATATATATATATATATATATATATATATATATATATATATATATATATATATATATATAATATATATATATATATATATATATATATATATATAATATATATATATATATATATATATATATATATATATATATATATATATAATATATATAGATATATATAGATATATATAGATATATATATATATATATATATATATATATATATATATATATATATATATATATATATATATTATTATAATATATAATATATATATATATATATAATATTATTTTTTATTATCACACTGGCCGATTCCCACCAAGGCAGGGTGCCCGAAAAAGAAAAACTTTCACCATCATTCACTCCATCACTGTCTTGCCAGAAGGGTGCTTTACACTAACGGTTTTTAAACTGCAACATTAACACCCCTCCTTCAGAGTGCAGGCACTGTACTTCCCATCTCCAGGACTCAAGTCCGGCCTGCCGGTTTCCCTGAATCCCTTCATAAATGTTACTTTGCTCACACTCCAACAGCACGTCAAGTATTAAAAACCATTTGTCTCCATTCACTCCCAAATCAAATCAAAATCACTGCCAAATCAAAATCGAGAACAACGTCCAGTATTGGGCCCCTACTTAAACAAGATGGGTCCTACACAGATGACAACAAGGAAATGAGTGAGCTACTCAAGTCCCAATATGACTCAGTTTTTAGCAAGCCGCTAACCAGACTGAGAGTCGAAGATCAAAATGAATTTTTTATGAGAGAGCCACAAAATTTGATTAACACAAGCCTATCCGATGTTATCCTGACGCCAAATGACTTCGAACAGGCGATAAATGACATGCCCATGCACTCTGCCCCAGGGCCAGACTCATGGAACTCTGTGTTCATCAAGAACTGCAAGAAGCCCTATCACGAGCCTTTTCCATCCTATGGAGAGGGAGCATGGACACGGGGGTCGTCCCACAGTTGCTAAAAACAACAGACATAGCCCCACTCCACAAAGGGGGCAGTAAAGCAACAGCAAAGAACTACAGACCAATAGCACTAACATCCCATATCATAAAAATCTTTGAAAGGTCCTAAGAAGCAAGATCACCACGCATCTAGAAACCCATCAGTTACACAACCCAGGGCAACATGGTTTAGAACAGGTCGCTCCTGTCTGTCTCAACTATTGGACCACTACGACAAGGTCCTAAATGCACTAGAAGACAAAAAGAATGCAGATGTAATATATACAGACTTTGCAAAAGCCTTCGACAAGTGTGACCATGGCGTAATAGCGCACAAAATGCGTGCTAAAGGAATAACAGGAAAAGTCGGTCGATGGATCTATAATTTCCTCACTAACAGAACACAGAGAGTAGTCGTCAACAGAGTAAAGTCCGAGGCAGCTACGGTGAAAAGCTCTGTTCCACAAGGCACAGTACTCGCTCCCATCTTGTTCCTCATCCTTATATCCGACATAGACAAGGATGTCAGCCACAGCACCGTGTCTTCCTTTGCAGATGACACCCGAATCTGCATGACAGTGTCTTCCATTGCAGACACTGCAAAGCTCCAGGCAGACATCAACCAAATCTTTCAGTGGGCTGCAGAAAACAATATGAAGTTCAACGATGAGAAATTTCAATTACTCAGATATGGTAAACATGAGGAAATTAAATCTTCATCAGAGTACAAAACAAATTCTGGCCACAAAATAGAGCGAAACACCAACGTCAAAGACCTGGGAGTGATCATGTCGGAGGATCTCACCTTCAAGGACCATAACACCGTATCAATCGCATCTGCTAGAAAAATGACAGGATGGATAATGAGAACCTTCAAAACTAGGGAGGCCAAGCCCATGATGACACTCTTCAGGTCACTTGTTCTATCTAGGCTGGAATATTGCTGCACACTAACAGCACCTTTCAAGGCAGGTGAAATTGCCGACCTAGAAAATGTACAGAGAACTTTCACGGCGCGCATAACGGAGATAAAACACCTCAATTATTGGGAGCGCTTGAGGTTCCTAAACCTGTATTCCCTGGAACGCAGGAGGGAGAGATACATGATTATATACACCTGGAAAATCCTAGAGTTACTAGTACCGAACTTGCACACGAAAATCACCCACTACGAAAGCAAAAGACTTGGCAGACGATGCACCATCCCCCCAATGAAAAGCAGGGTGTCACTAGCACGTTAAGAGACCATACAATAAGTGTCAGGGGCCCGAGACTGTTCAACTGCCTCCCAGCACACATAAGGGGGATTACCAACAGACCCCTGGCAGTCTTCAAGCTGGCACTGGACAAGCACCTAAAGTCAGTTCCGGATCAGCCGGGCTGTGGCTCGTATGTTGGTTTGCGTGCAGCCAGCAGCAACAGCCTGGTTGATCAGGCTCTGATCCACCAGGAGGCCTGGTCTCAGACCGGGCCGCGGGGGCGTTGACCCCCGGAACTCTCTCCAGGTAAACTCCAGGTAAACACGCTCACGCATGCCTGCTGGAAGTCCAAGCCCCTCGCACACAAAACCTCCTTTACCCCCTCCCTCCAACCCTTCCTAGGCCGACCCCTACCCGCCTTCCTTCCACTACAGACTGATACACTCTTGAAGTCATTCTGTTTCGCTCCATTCTCTCTACATGTCCGAACCACCTCAACAACCCTTCCTCAGCCCTCTGGACAACAGTTTTGGTAATCCCGCACCTCCTCCTAACTTCCAAACTACGAATTCTCTGCATTATATTCACACCACACATTGCCCTCAGACATGACATCTCCACTGCCTCCAGCCTTCTCCTCGCTGCAACATTCATCACCCATGCTTCACACCCATATAAGAGCGTTGGTAAAACTATACTCTCATACATTCCCCTCTTTGCCTCCATATATATGTTAATATATATATATATATATATATATATATATATATATATATATATATATATATACATACATCTAGGTTTTTCTCCTTTTTCTAAATAGCTCTTGTTCTTCTTTATTTCTTTTATTGTCCATGGGGAAGTGGAAAAGAATGTTTCCTCCGTAAGCCATGCGTGTCGTATGAGGCGACTAAAATGCCGGGAGCAATGGGCTAGTAACCCCTTCTCCTGTAAACATTTACTAAAAAAGAGAAGAAATTTTTTTATAAAACTGGGATGCTTGAACGTGCGTGGATGTAGTGCGGATGACAAGAAACAGATGATTGCTGATGTTATGAATGAAAAGAAGTTGGATGTCCTGGCCCTAAGCGAAACAAAGCTGAAGGGGGTAGGGGAGTTTCGGTGGGGGAAAATAAATGGGATTAAATCTGGAGTATCTGAGAGAGTTAGAGCTAAGGAAGGGGTAGCAATAATGTTGAAGGATCAGTTATGGAAGGAGAAAAGAGAATATGAATGTGTAAATTCAAGGATGTAAAGAGCAAATGAGAGAGTGGGTGAGATGTTATCAACAAATTTTGTTGAAAATAAGAAAAAGTTTTGGAGTGAGATTAACAAGTTGAGGAAGCCTAGAGAACAAATTGATTTGTCAGTTAAAAATAGGAGAGGAGAGTTATTAAATGGAGAGTTAGAGGTATTGGGAAGATGGAGGGAATATTTTGAGGAATTGTTAAATGTTGATGAAGATAGGGAAGCTGTGATTTCATGTATAGGGCAAGGAGGAATAACATCTTGTAGGAGTAAGGAAGAGTTAGTTGTGAGTGTGGGGGAAATTCGTGAGGCAGTAGGTAAAATGAAAGGGGGTAAGGCAGCCGGGATTGATTGGATAAAGATAAATATGTTAAAAGCAGGTGGGGATATAGTTTTGGAGTGGTTGATGCTATTATTTAATAAATGTATGGAAGAGGGTAAGGTACCTAGGGATTGGCAGAGAGCATGCATAGTTCCTTTGTATGAAGGCAAAGGGGACAAAAGAGAGTGCAAAAATTATAGGGGGATAAGTCTATTGAGTATACCTAGTAAAGTGTACGGTAGAGTTATTATTGAAAGAATTAAGAGTAAAACGGAGAATAGGATAGCAGATGAACAAGGAGGCTTTAGGAAAGGTAGGGGGTGTGTGGACCAGGTGTTTACAGTGAAACATTTAAGTGAACAGTATTTAGATAAGGCTAAAGAGATTTTTGTGGCATTTATGGATTTGGAAAAGGCGTATGACAGGGTGAATAGGGGGGCAATGTGGCAGATGTTGCAGGTGTATGGTATAGAAGGTAGGTTACTGAAAGCAGTGAAGAGTTTTTACGAGGATGGTGAGGCTCAAGTTAGAGTATGTAGGAAAGAGGGAGATTACTTCCCAGTAAAAGTAGGCCTTAGACAAGGATGTGTGATGTCACCGTGGTTGTTTAATATATTTATAGATGGGGTTGTAAGAGAAGTAAATGCGAGGGCCTTGGCAAGAGGCGTGGAGTTAAAAGATAAAGAATCACACATAAAGTGGGAGTTGTCACAGTTGCTCTTTGCTGATGACACTGTGCTCTTGGGAGATTCTGAAGAGAAGTTGCAGAGGTTGGTGAACGAATTTGGTAGGGTATGTAAAAGAAAATTAAAAGTGAATACAGGAAAGAGTAAGGTTATGAGGATAACAAAAAGATTAGGTGATGAAAGATTGGATATCAGATTGGAGGGAGAGAGTATGGAGGAGGTGAATGTATTCAGATATTTGGGAGTGGACGTGTCAGCGGATGGGTCTATGAAAGATGAGGTGAATCATAGAATTGATGATTGGAAAAGGGTGAGCGGTGCACTTAGGAGTCTGTGGAGACAAAGAACTTTGTCCTTGGAGGCAAAGAGGGGAATGTATGAGAGTATAGTTTTACCAACGCTCTTATATGGTTGTGAAGCATGGGTGATGAATGTTGCAGCGAGGAGAAGGTTGGAGGCAGTGGAGATGTCTTGTCTGAGGGCAATGTGTGGCGTGAATATAATGCAGAGAATTCGTAGTTTGGAAGTTAGGAGGAGGTGCGGGATTGCCAAAACTGTTGTCCAGAGGGCTGAGGAAGGGTTGTTGAGGTGGTTCGGACATGTAGAGAGAATGGAGCGAAACAGAATGACTTCAAGAGTGTATCAGTCTGTAGTGGAAGGAAGGCGGGGTAGGGGTCGGCCTAGGAAAACTTGAAGGGAGGGGGTAAAGGTTTTGTGTGCGAGGGGCTTGGACTTCCAGCGGGCATGCGTGAGCGTGTTTGATAGGAGTGAATGGAGACAAATGGTTTTTAATACTTGACGTGCTGTTGGAGTGTGAGCAAAGTAACATTTATGAAGGGATTCAGGGAAACCGGCAGGCCGGACTTGAGTCCTGGGGATGGGAAGTACAGTGCACTCTGAAGGAGGGGTGTTAATGTTGCAGTTTAAAAACTGTAGTGTAAAGCACCCTTCTGGCAAGACAGTGATGGAGTGAATGATGGTGAAAGTTTTTCTTTTTCGGGCCACCCTGCCTTGGTGGGAATCGGCCAGTGTGCTAATAAAAAAAAAATTGTCCCTTAGGCTTGATAAGTGGTGCTGAGTCCCAGAGCCTTGCTAAATCTAAAGCTGATGTACGAAGACTGAGACAAGTGAGGTAAAGCACTTGGTAACTGAATTACAGGTAAGCGGAGTTCATTAGTGAAAGTAAGTCATACAAATAGGTAGTACAAGGTGTAAAAAAAAAAAAAGATCTGCTGCAAGATTTCAAGATATTACTGTCTGATACTGGAGAAGGCCTCGGTCATATGACCAAAAGCTCAATTGGCAGGTCATCATTTGACCAAGACCATGACAGGAAATACGCGTCCTTTTTCCTGACCATAAATCCATCAACACAAGGGGGGGTGGGGTGGGGTGGAGGTGGTGGGTGGGGTCCTTTAGGGGGGGGCTCGGGGGTGTAGGGGGTGTAAGAGGGGATTTAATAGAAAATATTTAAAACGCAAGGAAGGTTCCTTGATGTTGGTGAGGGACTCTTGATTTAGGGAATTGGATCTGTGCTCCAGTTCCCCGAATTAAGCCTGAATGCCTTCCACATCCCCTCCCCAGGCGCTGTATAATCCTCCGGGTTTAGCGCTTCCCCTTGATTATAATAATAATAATAATAATAATCTAGTTAAAAAAGTCACATGTACATCTATTAATTACTGTTATTACTATTGTTACTACTATTATTATTATCTACTGTTATTTAGATTCATTCTGGCAACAAGTTATTTTTTTAAATCATTTAATAATTGTTTATTATGGAGGGAATCAGGAAGCAGACTTTTAGCAACAATTTAGAATTTTTAAAAACAAATAACTTTTCTGCGTGTCTAAAATTTCTTAATTGTTACTGTTTCTTGGTCAGGAGTCCTATTGGTGGTACCAACACTCAGTTACTACTGTCGTGTTGAGGATAATATGCTGATCTTCATCGGCGGCGTGTCGGCCATGTTTTATTACGTAATGTTTGGGACTGCTCCTGTCGCTTGGGTTCTATATCTTGGTAAGAACACTGAAAGTTATCATTATAAAATTCGTGAGAAGCGCTAAACCCATGTTTGTCATTCAGCGCTACATGGCAAATACGTGAAAATTGAAGGTGGGCATATTTTCTTGAAAATATTGGTTCATTTTGCATGGCTGCTCGTACCTTGTACCCCGACATCCTACCAAGGTATATTTTTATTTACGCATTACTTACTGTTCCAGCTTCAGCAGTGTCCATGTGTGTTACCATTCCTGTAGCAGCTTCAAAAGGTGCCATCTCTAAGGTTGTATCCATGGATGAACTAGGATCTATGTTCTCCCTGCTGGCGGTCACTCAGTGTATCATGCTACTGATCGCCCCGTCACTCTACACATTCATCTACAACCTCACACTAGAGTTCTTCCCGGGAACGTTGTTTCTGATGATGGCAGGCGTTGCGGCGGAAGTGTGTTGCATCAGTGTGTAAGTCTGATATCGTGTGTAATTCATTTTCTGAAGGCAACAACTCTTAAGATCTTGTAATAAGGGCCGTAACGCGTGTGACATGGGTAAGATAAGCATAAATATAATTTTAAATACTCTCACGTAATGAGAGCCGTCACAGGTTATAGGCTCCCCATCCATGGTCACTTCTGATTAAGTGGTCGACAGGTGAAGGATGAAAAATGAACGAGGAAAAACTAGAGAGAGAGAGAATATTGCACATTTTAATATCCGTTTTGTATGACACCCAAACATTTTCCCAGGCATCTAATATGCAAATAAACCATACCCCCGGCCGGGATTGAACCCGCGGTCATATGGTTTATTTGCAATCGTGTCATTACGATTTCTTGAGTCATCTAATATGCACTTAGAAAGGCATCAAGTAACTAAATTTTACAAAATTGAGAAACCAGATGATAATCAGGAATACAGTCTAATATGAAGGACGAATATTTTTAAGCCTCAACTTTTCATAAGCCTAGTTCTTACTGGTAGTTATGGAACAGTGGCATCGATGTCTCATAGTTTAACGATATCATCGTCGACTCGTAGTTCAGTAACTCGGTTGGTTACCGGAACTGAGGGAGACGTGAGGCATGTTTCCTTACATATGTTGTCTCTTCGTGACTCACGAAATCCTAATAACACGATTGCAAACTAATCACAGAACGGGTGGGCTCGAACCCATGACAACTGAACTGAAGATCAAGCTAGTACTCGAATCACTCGCGCTCTATTAAGATTCGTCCAATCTTTAATATTAGAGCCAGCTGACCGAGTGGTTAACACACTAGCCTTACATAGGGTCGGATTCTGAAATAAACTGAAGTAAAATAAGGTATTTTTGCCTGTAAATTCGAGTGAAAAATATTTGATATCAATGAAGCCTATCGTTCACAGGTGGATGCTGACTCATCATCTGCCCGGGAAAGAGTAGACCGACGGAGTTTACGAAGGGATGCACTACAGATATTCAACCTATACTCCAAATCAACGTCCATAGATCAATGGCTAAGAACGTCAAATATGTGACTGTTACACTGGAATGAAAGCGTGATTATTTGCCTATTTTACCCTGTACTCAGTGAGTCCGATATCTGTTCTCACTCCAAAAAGTTTCTATCGCTTTTATATTCTTTTGCAGTTACTGACATTATGGTGTTATAAGCGAGTATTATTATTCTGGGGAGCGCTAAACCCGTGGGGATTATACAGCGTCTGTGGGGGGTGGGGAGATGGAAGGTATTCAGGCTCAGTTCAGGGAACTGGAGCACAGACCCAGTTCCCTAAATCAAGAGCCCCTCACCAGCATCAAGGAACCTCCCTTGAGGGGTATAACCGGTTAAACTTCGCTTATAGATGTCAAGTCAAACTTAGCCAAACAAATATGTCGAGAAATTTGCTTAGTCATACAAGAAATCAACAGGTTGTAGAATATAAGTGAAATTATGGAGAATATTATTGCACTTAAAAACTAAAAAGTAATCTTATCACATTTTTAAAAAATCCTTCAGTGCATTTTGGTTTTGTGTTTTATCTGATTTATAAAATAACATTTACGTAAATCTGAATTAACTGTTAAAAGATGTTCCCAGAGAACGCCAGAACCATAGATCAGATTTCTGTCATAATGAAGGATGGGTTTGGTAAAACACTGCAGTTATAGTCGTATTTTAATTCCTAAATAAATAACACAGTTCACAATACAGCTATCATAACGGATTTCACAAATTCAAAATTAAAAATTTAATTTTCATACTGGTTCTATATATTCATATAAAAAACGTGAGGAGCCTACATTATCACTGATTCTCACTCTAAAACCCTGACTTAACTGTCAGATACTTCAGGTTTACAAATATATTTCAGCATTTTTCACATATATTTTAAATAGTTTTGTCATGTTACGCTATGTATAATAAAAAATATTAAAAGCATATTAATGTAAATGAATTGGTGGAAAAGGCTGAGGGACTGATTACCTCAACTTTTTTAATGTCTTCGTATATTATCTCTATATTTGGGACAAATCTTCATTTCTTTTACTAGGTGATTTATTTACAGTCACACTCGTGCAGTTATTTGTGGAGACAAGTGGCGAGAAAGACAATTGCAGAGTAACTTCATTACGACGTTTCGCCTGTAGATATGTTTCTTCATTGAAGAAGTCTGTCCACAGACGAAACGTCTGGGTAAAATTCCTCTCTCGAACTGTCTTTCTCGTTGAATATGACGAATTAGTGGCCAGTATCAATAATCTTAATTTCATAAAACTTTCATGCATATGCAACCGATTATTTCAGCTATGAGCTATATAATATGTACTGTTTATAAAGACTGTATTGTGATACTGATGGACTGAATAATGAGCTACGAAGTACTCACCTGGAGTCTACCTGAAAGGTATTCCGGGGATCAGCGCCCCCGTTTTGATGCTCAGTCATGAAAAAATCATTTGGGTTGTTGATTTTTAGACTGATTAGTGGCTCGCTAAACAAAGAGTCGTATTGGGATTTCAGTATCTCACTCATTTCTTTGTTGTTATGTGTGTAAGTCCCATCTTGTCTGAGCAAGTGCCTGATACTAGATGTGGTACAGTACTCTCGATTAAGTGGTTATGGATATGATATATACAAATAAATATAGGATTCAATGCACCACTTTGTGATGATATTGGTCACCGCGTAACGCCCTGCCTTATAAAAAGTCTAGATATATTCAGATTCTTTAGTTCAAATCGCTGCATTTCCAAAATATACAATAATCAGAAAACCCATACCATACACAGCATTTTGGGACCTCCGATAGTCTAATAATATATAACCAAGTTCATTAAATGTTATCGAATTAGATACACTTGAAGACAAACAAATGCATGTAGCACACACTGACTTCAAAATCCTTTTGGGTAACTGCAGAGTGCGTGCCAAACGGTCTGCCAAAGACGGTCTGCAGATGGATATTTAACTTTCTATCAAATAGAACTCCAAGAGTAATAGTAAATCGAGTGAAATCAGAGGCTGCTGCCGTGAAAATGTACAACGAACCCTCATAGTTCATTTAAACTCAGTCAGGCACCTAAAATACTGGGAGCTCTTGTCATAAAAATACCCAGAGGAAATAACAAGAGTACTAACAATGAAAGTAATCTTGTAGTAAATTGGTAAATAATAAACTATAACTGCTTTAGGAAAAAACACAAATTATACTATTTGGCTCATAAGGTAAAAAAAAAATATAATGTATTGTATAACGAGTAAGTCATCACAATAGCACACAGTGAAATATCTGTGAATATCCGTAGAGACGTGCATGCCAGTTGCAGTGATAGTAAATAATGTAGTAAATAAAGCAAATGCCAGATAAAAATTCATTATAGGCAGGTACGGTGCTTGCGTGTTGGAACACGCAAGCACCGTTTTATGTAATACGCTGCCCTAACAAAAAAGCTGAAAAAATTAAAAATTACCCAAAATAAGATGAGATTGTTTCCTGGACCTGAGTCCAAGAAAACATTTAGGCTTGTATGAATTATAAAAACTGGAAAAGTTATTAAAATTTCAAGACAGAAATGCAGCTGAGACTCAACCATATATACATAATTGCTGACAACCAGTGTTCAGAATACTTTGCTGTAAATTTTATAAAGGTAAAGAATCAAAACCAGTATGTTTTTCACAAAAGAAAAATAAATTTTGTAGCGTCCACAGTAGGTGGCCAGGCCTTCAACACAGTGATAAGGGAATGAATGGGTTACCTAACCATCTTAATTACCGTAATTAAGGCCACCTATACAATAAAATAATTTAAGAATAGAACCAAAGCACATTTAGCGAATTAAGCTGCAGAAAGGTAAGTTTTTTATTTATTGTAATGTTACAATATGCATAATTTCGTTTTGATAAATATATTTTTTGTGTTGACTTATTGTTAGTAATATCATTAAATGTGGACATTAAGATGACGTGTATTAATGCGTTTATGTAAAAATAAAGTTATAAATTTATATAAACAACGAGACCCCCAATGATTTTTCTTCTGGGTTGGAATTCTTCATAATTTTACTATATAAACCATATACTTTAATAAAATCTACAAATTTGATTTCAGCATAAATCTCGAGTTAACTGGCTCTTCTAACTAGGCTCGAGACTGGTACAGTTTTTGTCACATGAGCAGAAGATTACGTGTTAAATGCTGTTCTAGCATATTCGTAGCTGCTTACCATAAACTGCATAAAGTATTCTGATAATAAATTTATATAATAAGTTCCGGTCGGGAGAATTGATTATTTTCCACAGAATTCTTACAAAATCCAATTTTCTTAAATTACTGTACCTTACATAAATGTCTATAACATCCTATTTAAAGTTTGTTTGGTCAAACTTTAATGTTAATGGCCTTAGATGAGTTTTTCTTTATAATATTCTGTCTTAATGCGCATTCATCATCAATGACACCATATCTGTTTTTTTACAAAACTTCATAGATATTACGATCCACTGACCCAACAAAACAAGAACTTCAGCATTCATCTTTCGAAGTGCAGGCACCATATTTCCCAGCTTTGCAAATAAGTCTGGACTATTTCACTAAATTCCTTCACGGATATTACAACACACATATTCCAACAGATATTACCACACACATATTCCCAGCCCCACTTACCTTCCCTCCAGCCTAACACTCCCTCGTCCCACATGCCTGCAAGCAGATATCAGAAATTGTAAACAGTCTTTGGTTAATATCTTTAATGCCATCTTGGGCCCCTCAGGACATTTTTCAGTGGTCTGTAAGACTGCAGGAATGATCTTTCTTGCTAAGCCGGGGGAGGATGAGGGGGGCAAAGACATTCCATCATAACTCAGGTGGGGGATTGGGTGTAGGGAACTAGAGACCTCCCATATCATTACGCCAAGCCTCGACCCATGGTCCCCCTAGAGAATCGGCCGCCCCGAAAACCCCCCTCGCACCCCACCACACCTGCTAAGCCAACCCGCCAAAAAAACCACCCCCCCACAAAATTGTCAAACGCCCCCCACGCATGACTCCCCCACAAGCCCACCCACTTATATTCGTACTGTATCGGCACGTCTACAAACCCCAGGGCGGAATCTAGCCTACAAAAGGCCCCCCGGAGATGAATGTTCATCAAGCTAATATAGCTTATCTGCATGATGGTCTATTTAATATACACACTTATAGACCAACCATCTCAATAACTGGACCATTCTCGCGCAGACCACTCATCCCAACAACCCACCCCTGCCCCCACCAACCGCCCCTATCCACGGCAGGGGCCGCCCCCTCCAAAATCACTATACCCCCCAGCTGGTGGTCCCCCAAGTTAATCTTGACCTTCGTCCAAATAATCAAATCGACATATATGTGAAAGAACCTTGGATGCCCTCAAACCAGAGTTTAAATGAAACCATTCTAACGCAATTGTGCAGATGATTTTATCTCCATGTCGTCTCATCTACTCCGGTAACAGGAAAATAACAAGTATGAGAGAGTCATAGAAAAAATGATATTGAAACTTCGTCGAACATCAAAATGGGAAAAGAAATGGAGAATTACGACTAACCCTGAAGAAAGTCCTTTGTTAGCACATAGAGATGTTTTGCATCAACCATCGAAGATAACAGGGGTATCTCCATCAGAGGTACACCTGTAGGCCATTAGAAACCCTAACAAGATCCAGGGATAGTGAAAATAGACAGGCTTGCTTCCCACTCAACATTCTCATGTAACTAAAGAAGATCAACATAGCACACAGCCGTCTTGAACGAGTCTCTTTAAGATTAAATCACGCCCCTACCACATGTACAAAAAACATCTGTATAAAATGATATAAAGACCTATACTCGAATATCCATGTGATCCTCAATGTCCATCAACAACAAAGACCAACATGCTAAGACGGGTAGCAACGGGGTCCAGAAAAAGCCCTTTCGCTTCATTAACGAACACCAGGAGGCGAGCCCGCGGAATCACCATGGCAGCTAAACCCCTGATACACCGACCAGATAATTACTGTGCCTATCCCAGACCGGCCTGGACACCCTGAAGGAAGCCACAACACTATGCAATCCACGAACTCTACATGCCAGAAAGAGACATCATCCCATCTCGCAAGTTAGCACACTCCACGGATATATATCCTCAATACCTCCTCCTCGAAAGGACTCAAAGCAAGACACTCCCAAGGGTCCCTCGTTTTTAAATCCATAAAGACGATAAAACATCGGACCAATTGATAATGAGCAACGACAACTCGCATGGCAGATGACAGATGATTTGGGTAACACCACGACACCCTAGCTGAGTAAAATTGCATTAAAACTGAATGATATCATTATGTTACATACCAGACCATAGACCCAAGCTCCTATCAAACAATATAACATGAAAGGCACCAGACGACTTTTGGGACAACCTAGGGACGCACCAAAATCCCACCTTAGGCGACACCTAACCCCTGTCATAGATCCCCACAAATTGCTCTGGACCTATTAATCATAAAAGAAATATAGCTCACACAAGGAATACTGGTAAATATATAAAATATGGTGGTACTGTATATTAAAATAAACACTGATTAATATAGACACCACATTTACATAACATAAGGAAAATAACTTACAATCCATAACACGTCACCGAAATTTGACTGGGAGGTTAATGTGTTCATGTCCAGGACCCCCCTTTTCCTACCTTTATGAAGAAAAATTTATTACTGGCCAAAATTAAAACTAATTTAAACAGCTTATCTCAGGATCCTGGAGTTGTCCTGTCCTGTTCGCCTGATTCTCAAATAAGCAGGAATGCACATTCCACATTTCGCCTCCTGATTGAGGATGGTGTCAGCCCGATTTTAAACCTCTAGAGCACGAAAAATTCTTCTCATTATCCACAACGTGTTATTCAATTCAAACAAAAGGCGACTAGACCTCCCCAGCCGCAGGTTTGCCCCTTTTTCGATAACAAATACATACTTTTAAAAATACAATATAGGGCAACTATTTACCATTAAATTACCTATTTCCGGCAAATATAATACAGTATTTTCCACAGCCTATGTTTACTAAGAAAATCATCGTCCCCCAATTAGGGAGAACATCAAGTAAAACATCTCCTGGGTTTACGCTATGCAACATTTACTGTATCGACAGCCTCGTTCCGGTTTGGAGATTGATGTTAGTGGTAACACCCGTTGGTCAGCCGCAATATGGGATGTCAAAGGTAATCTATATAACAACTGCCATAAAATTTGTAGCCTTTCAATTGCGTATAATATCCGTTTGTGTAATCGCAAAAAAAAAAAAAAAAAAAAAAAAAAAAAAAGAAAAAACAGCAATTGCAAACTTGTATAATAACTACCCGAGTTCATAGTCCTGTACTTATATATATCTGTGGGATAATCCTAGTGTGACTGCATGGGGGTATAGTCCAACCAGCGAACCCGCCAAGACCCTCCACTAAAACCCGGTTAATAATACCGCTCTGGGCGCAGTTGGTGTGTGGGCCCGCAATAGAAACCCAACCCTCCCCGCTGCGTTGGCGGCCCTATTAAGTGGGGACCCCAATCGCCGAAAACAAACTACTCCTGAATATGCAAAACCAACGGTACTGACCGCGCCATTGTGGATTCCCCCCGGCAAATGAAACCCCGCACTAAGACACACCCATTGCCGCCCAATAGTCTATCCAGAACAGAGCAGTAATCCCACACCCCTCTCATCAAGATCTCCCCCCGTGGTCAGCATTAACCAGGCCGCCGCCTACTAAGAATCCAACCCTAGAGCCCCCCCCCGCACGCATTTTATGCTTCCCTACGATTAACCCCACCGACCCCCACCCCCGTCTCATCCCCCCCCCGCCCCTCGCCCTCCCCCCCTCGCCGCCCCCAGAACACCGCGGACAACGGCACGGCGAGACTCGTACAACCCCATTTAACCTAACCCCCCCACGACCCTACACCGAACACAAGGTCGCCGCCTTCCAGCCCAACACGAATCCGAATTGGGCGAAAGATATGCCCGGGTGATCCTGCCCGCCCCACAAGTTCCCCCCACAACCCCACTAGACCCAACCCCAAAAACACCCCCCCACACCCCAATACAACCCAAGTACTAACCAACACGGGCAGAGCCTTAAATGCTGGAGCAGGGGGCTCTTGATCCAACTAATAGAAGCTACCTTCCTTTTCTTTGGATCAGAAAGAGGAATAACCACCCACCTCTAAGTCGCTGCATGACCTTACGGGGATTTAGCGCTTCCCTATGGATATACTAATAATATAACGTCTTCTGTGCAGATATTCCACGATCCCTCTCGCTTACCCGTTGATTGGCTGCGAGAGTAGAGTCCAACGAATAGGCGGATATCCGATAAAGGATGGAACCCACCAGGTAGTACTACCTAGCACTTTAACAGTGCACATCATCAGATAGTATTAACCAGTTTACCAGTCTAGTAACCAGATGACCGTAACCGTCCGTTGACCCAAACGATCCAACCAGTCTTGAGATCACGGTCTTCATATTGTCTGCTGAGCTGACACAAATTTCACAACACCCACACGGGGTACTGAGCCAACGGCTAGTCAGTATTACAGTGTAGGCCAAGGAGAAAATAAAAAAAGGTAGGGCTGGCAAGGGCTTCCCTTCACAAATCTACAATTATAGTAAAGAACAGCCTAACGTGGAGTATTTCTACCCTAAATCCACGTATCGAACCTCCCACATGATAAATGGTGACACGGGTGGAGCGTGAATTAAGTTTTAAGGGCAAATCAAGCGTAGAAGGCAGTTAGTGTGAGTAGCGCCATGGGTCATAGGTGAATTGTTCACCCACTCAGCCACCTACCCGCCTGCACCACCTCGACCACCAGCTCTACCCTCAACGCAAGCCCCCAGGCCAGCCAGCCAGCTTCTCTCCCCTCAATATATATATACCTATTGCCTGCGAAGCCGTTGCGCCGTTTACCCAGAGCTATCCTG